CTCCGAATTCCGCGAAATTAGATTAACCTTTGCAATTTATCGCTTCTTGCTTACACGGCGTTTAGATATCGCAGGTGTCTAAAACCACAAACACTTTCGTTCGAATCTATAATTACGCGGATCTGCGGTTTCATGTATCTATAATTTTACGAACCCATTTATCGCGAGTTCCACGGAATCCCGCAGATATCTAATTAAAATATTCGTGATATTATAGATCCTCTTGCAAGATACGACTCCAAAAACCTGCTCCATACAGTTTTTGCTGAAAGACGTTTCGCGGCAAATATTTTTTTTTATAGATGAATATGCTATACAACTTCTCGATCCACAAATTCTTCCGGTTTATAAATCGCCTTATCTCCCGACGTTTATTCCGATAAGCGAGATTTCACTGCACCGACTCCGCGAGGCATGCGAGGATCCGCGATTCCGGTCTTCGGCGACGGAAAATACGACCTTATTAAGGTGCTACATCGTAGAGTATCGCGCGACGCGCTTTAAGTACGTCGACTACGTTAATTATGCCGCTTAAGTTAGGATAAGGCTGCGTTTGGACATCACGATCGAATAGATCCGTCGCGTAAAAGCACGCACATACGTTTCTCTCTCGATTCCTCTTCCTTGATTTACTTAATTGCGCTGCTTAATATTTGCATGTCCAGTCAATTCTACCGTGGGGCACATTCGTTGAGTTAGTGCGTGGCGTTTGATTGCATAAGCTGAATTAATGTATCCTGATGACGCGGAGGGAGTAACTAACGAGCCGGCGATGCGGAGTTTAACGTCACCGAAAGATTCTCCGAGAATCTCACGTTAAATGCGTTATGATATTGGGAGATTTGGAAAAACTAGAAACGCGTTTGGGAAAAGAAACGCAGATCCGGAGATGCCTGATCTTGTATACAATTTTTAACTGAGTGCACTGCGTTGAATACTAATCACAGGATGACAACTTGCATACATTGATATTAATGAATCGATATTTTGTACGTTTAGTTGATTGGATTTATGTATATTAACTTGTTACTTTCAAGAAAGTACACACTCTCTTGCATTAATCTTGTTTTAATAAGTCGACTTCTTGAGAATGTTCTCAAAGTATCGCGCGGCAATTCATGAAATCCAAACTCTATGCACAATTATTATTAACTTCTTGAATATTTTCGAAAAAGTTTCTCTCCAATATCGCTCATGGTGTAGATGGAAATCTATTTAACACGATTGATTTCAGAAATTCTAAAGTTTAATGACTCTAAGTTCGCAGAATTTACAGGCCGAGTAATATGGTACATCGCGAATAAACTTATCTTAAAAGTGTTATTCTCCTTTGAATAAAATTTTTAACTTTTAAATAATCAACGGCGATATATATCTGTTTTATTTGCTTTGAAATATTGAAGGATGCGCGTCGCGAATAAATGGTTCATTCACTACGTAATTTATTCCGGGTCGCTGGCAGTTGACACCCACCTCTTTTTCTCGTTTAACAATACGGTCGAGATGATTTTGCAAATACCGCAGAAATGCTCAAACGACCGATATATCTAAGGAGCCTCGAGACCTTTGACGCACAGACGGCGCCGGTACAATCTAAAATTTACAATTCGTGTCTCGATCGCCCGCCTACGTTATTCACGCATGAGCAGTCCCTACGCATAACTAAGGATAAGAGAGTAAAATCGTCGCGCTAGTGGAAGATATATGTATTTAGCCTGCAGAACAAGATCCTAAGGGGTTATTAAAAGAAAATCCCGATCTCATATAGTATAAATATTGCTGATAATTCGAACGAAAAAGTGCATGCTAAAGAGTACTAAAAACAAATTCTATTAACAACTAAACTTACAAAATATCGATTCATCACTTATCTATGCAACTTGCCATCCTGTGATTAGCATTCAATGCGGTACATTTTGCACTCCGCAATCTCTCTCTTTCTCTGTCTCTCTCACGTTGATTTGCGTATTTCTAAACTTTCGCCGACTACAATCGCGAAATCTCAACGATTCAGGTAACAATTAATCACGAGTATCCGCGACGAGACATTTACGGGCCATTTATCGATAGTCCCGTGAGCATCGAATTAATTTCCCAGTCGGCGAGGAAAACCGCCGGGTCTCCGTTTACCTCGCAATATCTCGATATCGAAATCGCGAATACGTAATGCCACTTCTCGTCGTTAATGCTGCTCACTGTGATGTATACGATGTAATTTCCTTCTAAATCTCTCGGAGGCAATTTGCGTTAATAGAACAAATGGGAAATTTAGAAAGACATAACAATAATTTACTGCAAGCAATTATGTCACTAAGGACGGGAAAAAATCGTATTTCTAAAATATTTTAAACTTTCTCGGGAAGCAACTAATAAATGAAGTCACATGTCCAATATAAAGCTAAAGCTCTCTGCAGGTTTGTTCAGGGCATCATAACACGATTGAACTAGTGCATAAGCGTAGCATGCGCAATTGAAGGACTTGAAATGGCCGAGGTTCCGCGACTGATAGCAATAATCTGACAGGTGCATCAACGTCACTTATGTCGCCGTTGAGGCGATCCACGGTTAAACGGAGCGTATCATCCGCGGGCGAAAGAAAGAAGTAGGTGGCATCTCATCGCAGGAAGTTAATTAACATCGCGAACGGCTCTCGGGAGCCTCGGGTTGAAACAAGCTAGATCTAAATAAACCAGAAACTCACGAACGGCGCGCCGTGTCTCGCGGAGTATCTGGTACCTGCGTATCTGATGCCACTTATGACGTATGCTTAAACTAACGCTCATTGCTTACGAATAGTCGATCTTCCAGTCAATCCTTATTATCGTAGAAATTCATCATCCCTTTCCGCGTTGTCTCCCGTGAGAGAAAATAATGTTTGACTCTTCTCTAATTACGCGAAAGTCCAAAGTTCCGATGATCATTACGCGATCGGAACTCGTTCGCATTAATCAAGCTTTTTGGTCGGCATTAAACCGGCCAGTGTTTTAATACGGAAAATTTATCGCGAAAAATATTACCGCAGCCAGGGTTTGAATCTGGACTACCCTACTCTCTAGGCGGGCGTCTCACCAATTCGACCGCTGAGGCATGTGGTAATATTTGTCGCAATAACTTGGCATTAATCGACGTACCTTCCTTGGAATTTAATTATTCCGAGTCATAAGCTTCAAAGGATAAATTAATATTATAAAAGGGATATATTTCTCATTTCCCTCGGTATCACGCACAGGGTTTTCGCGTCAAGTAATTAGAAGAGAGATTTACGCATCGCGGTATTATTACCGGGTTGAATTACGATACGCGGACCGGTCGTTTTAGCACCACTAAGCCGACGATACCTCCGGTCCACCGAGATCGCACGATCCTTCCCCCGTAACGGGATTTCGAGCGACTGTAGATTACGCGACCGGTAGAAACCCCGGTTATCAGCACGATGACGAGAGAGCGTCTCGGATCCGACCGACGACGCTGAATGATTGCGATTTATGGGATTCCTCCGTGGTAGCTGACGATCTGACGGACCGATCTCGAGCGTGCCCGAGCGGAATTTGCCGTCCGACTCAATCGTAAAGGTGCCGCCACAACGAGGCGTGTCCGAGGATTTTATACGCGCGGTCTTTGCAAGATCATTCTTCCCGTTCGCCTCGCTCGTCAGGAACGTTAAATTCTGACATCACGTCGAAGTTTTCTCGGCTCAACGGGGCACCTCGTCGCCGCCCTTACTTGCTTGTAAACGTCTTCATAACGTTTTAATGCGACCGGGCTATTACGTCGCGCTACGCTCGAGTTATCTCGCGCGATGAGCTTTGCTTTTGGTGCTCCTCGTCGTCTCTCTGTCTGTTGAATCTAATTTACACGGTAGCGTCGCCTCTTGCCTCGCCTTTGCGGCCGGCTCTAAGTTGAAGTTGCCCGACACTTGGTTTAATCGCCTCCATCTGTCTATGCTGCGCATACTCAATTCGATCTTCGATCAGCAATCGCTTGTGCAGCTTCACTCAAAGCGATCAAAATAAATTTATGGAATCAGCAATGCAGCGTTAATTATTAAGGGTTCTTATTGCTCGCATTTTCCCCTCTAATCTCTCTAAATAACAAAGACATTAACTGAAACTATATGACACGGGTAATTATTTAAAAAGGGAACGCGCAATTCTTATGAAATCTCACTTCCGCGCGCTGTAACTTGTACGGTTTGAGAATTGCTCAAGACGAACGAAGATCGATGCAGCGTTTGACGGTCCGTGCGAAACAATGCGCGCTCGTAAACGCACATCGTAAATTGAAATTAGCCTAAACGGATTACGCGAATATTCACCGATAAAAGTATCCGTCCAGTCCCGTAAATCTCAGGCAGCGTTCTAAACTGCCTGTCAAGGCGGATAAGTGCTGCGTACTTAGAATGGGCCGGGATAAATATCGCGAGTTTGCGTTAGAGTAAGATGAAGAGCCGCGCATTACTCTTCGCATTCGTGCCTTGGTTCAACGCAGCCGGCCACGGGACTACCTTCGTATCGATATACGTATAAGGCCTTTCTCGGAACCCACAATGATACTGTGATTAATGTGTTAGATGAGTATAAGTTGCATTTAACTGCCGTTTTAAATTAATAAAATGATAAATTCATGGCAATTGGAATGTGCAGTCGATTATGATATAAGAATGATCAGATCTTTATCGTCTTATGAGAGTATTTTTTTTCTATTTTACGATAGAAAAGAAGGACGTTGGATAATACTCAAAAGGAATTAATTTAGGAAAAATGTTTGTTCTGCGCTAAATATGTGTGTGGCTTTGAACACATATACATTTCGTAATGCAAATTTCGCAGCTATTAAAATTAATGAGAGCGTAATTTGCTTCTAGGCCTAACGATGCGATTTTCCCTTCAAATATATTAGACTTGTTAATGTTTACGCAAGGCTTGTTCTATTTTACTTATCGAAAAATATGAGAGACTACTGGTTCCTCTCATCGAGGAATTTTCGCTATCCCAGTTTTATTCTAATAACGATCTAAAGTAAACGATCTAAAATGTATGATCAGTTCCTGTAATAATTATTCTTAAACAATTTGCGTGCAATATTTTAATTTTAAAACCGTGTATTACTTGTTATTTTAATCGAATTTTCTTCCCTTTCGGACGAGAGAAACAAGTTCCTCGGAGGTGAACGTCTTCCCGTAGCAATGCGATGATAAAACACGGCGGGCTTACTTTGTATCGCAAAAGAGTCAGGGCCAGATAGTAGAATCCAGAAAAAGCATGCGCATACCGATGGCGGCACTTACCTTTGCAGCCACCGTCCGCCGACAAGCCGTAGTGGTCCACGTCGCAGCGATCGCACCGGAAGCCGACGACGCCCGGCGCGCACCTGCACACGCCGCTTACAGAATCGCAGAGCCCGTCGACGGCACCCACGTCGCAGTCGCATTCCCGACAACCTGCGGTCACGTTCCCGTAACCTTCGATGCAGGAGGAACAGTCACGACCGGTGAACAAAGGTCCGCAGGGACACTGACCGGTCGTCTGCTCGCACTGAGTCGAATTGCTGCCGAGGGGAGAGCAATTGCATGCTGAAACGCAAACGGTATCTCTGCTCACAATGTATCCTATTAACGTAATTAATGACGTGTCCTATTAATCTAATCGCTACGTTAATTTGCTTCGCACTGGAAGGTCTTTGATTGTTGCTATTTTCGGCAGATCAGTTCTAAATCTTCAATATATAACATTTTATATGCAAATATGTGTGCAAGAAATAAAAAATTAATTTTAATTATAGAGGGATAAAATAAGAAAAATTGTAAAATTTTTAGAATATCAGAAATCCGAAATAATTACATGCAATTATTCAGCAATTTTAGGATTTGTAGAGATATAAAGAGTATAAAAATGCATGCAAGTGCTTACGCATGCAATTTTGTTCCAGAGGATTTCCAAAATGCGTCTCCTTGCATCTTTCGCACTTCCAACCCTCGGTATTGCCGCGGCACTCTAAACAGCGACCCGTTTCCTGGTCGCAGGCACCACCGTTGCAAGGACACCGTTCGCAAGTGCCGCCATGTATCAGAGGATTGCCATAGAATCCTACGTCACAACTTTTCACCCAAATCAAAATTAAAGCTTTCCGAATCGATGATAATATTTTAGCAATAACTGTCAATTGTATATGCAATAATCAGTGTTTGCTGTTATCTAAATAAAATTATATAGATGATTATCTAGATAAAATTTTAGCGTTATCTTATCTTTATATAGATAATAAAAATAAGTATTATCTATATCTGCATCTTAGATGAAAGAAAGTGTTATTTTTACTAAATTATCTAAGATAAGGTACAGATAATTTGGTTTAGGGCCACATAAAAATACTTAACAGTTACACTATTTAAATATGGATGTCGTTGTAGACCATGCATTTATGTGTGTGTGTCATATAACTTAACCTGAATATGTATATTCTATATCCCCCTTTATAATTTAAATTTTTCTATAATTTTTTTTATAACTTTTTCTACTGTGTTTACATGAAGTCTTAAAAATATTATCTGAAAATTATCTAGATGATTCATCATATAATTTATCTTTTATCTAGATATATTCAAAACGAAATCATCTTTATCTTATCTAAGATAAATTTATATATTTTTATCTTATCTTTATCTAGCTAATTTTAAAATCATCTATGCACAACACTGGCAATAATGCAAAAAAGATGATCGCGTGACGTCTAATAATTATAAATTAAAAGTCTGCTCATTTTGCAATATAAATTTTTGATTCATAAGATTATGGCATTTTTAAAAGATTACAAAAACGTAATTGCAAGAGAAAATCGTAACTAATTAATTTGCTTTGAATAATTTATTCGAAATGTTCGGATATTTGTTATTTGTACTGACGATGTAATTACTGTATTTGATCTTCAAAAAAATCTTTGTTCAAAATATGTATTATTTATTTTTCTTACCTTTCACAATGATCTCCGGTGTATCCCTCGGGACATTGCGTGCACACGTATCCGCTATTTGCATCGATGGGATTGTCGAGCTGGCAACTCGGGCTGAAATTGTTAGACTCGATGGAAAGTGGACACGCGCATTTCTTACAATCCTCGCTGGTGCCTCTTGTTGCGATACCGTAATATCCCGTAGCACAACGACCACACTTCGGGCCTACCGTATGATGTTCACACATCTGGAAATCATGGAGACACACCATGTAAATTTTAATTTAATATCAGCCTATTAGAATCACGAATATAAATCAAATTTGCGGTTAAAAGTTGCAACTCTTCTAATGGCCAAAATTATTTAGTTCCAAAGAAGTAGAATGTACAAAATAAAAGGATATAAAGTAAAATTGAAATAATATAAAAAATAAAATTTATGTACAAAAAATTAAAGAAAGCTAGTCTCGCATATAGTCTTTCATTGTTGAATCTTTCAAATTTTCAAAATCTGTTTCTCTCTTTTAAGAAGATTTCTTTTTATTCTCTTTTTAATAAAATTACTTTTAATAAACTTGATACAAAAATGAGCTTTAACTTCGCTCGTTAAATAACTGTGCGGATCAATTATTCCTACGGAAATTAAATTTTCCTAAAATAAGCTAACTGGTATCGCTCTCTGTACAGCACGAGTACGCAACGAATGGGTAAAAGAATTCCCTAGGATGCTGAGTCGATAAAATAACTCTCGCGATCTATAGATCTCGTGATCCATAATCCACGTGGAAGTTTGCCACGCAAACTTGGGTACTTCAAGCATCTGCTATACCGGCTGAAGGTTAGGCTGGATATTAGCCGCAGCGAGATGTTGAAGGTAACTACAGTAAAGCCAGTTGCACACTAGGGAACTTATTTTGTACACTATATCGTATACTCTTACTAACAATAAGAAAAATTCGTTTATCTTACTAAATTATACGTAACGTTAAAAAATAATTTATATCTATTGCGCTAATTTCTTTTCTAAATTCATTACATTAGTAACTTCTTTTGATATATTTTATTATACTACTTTTAATATTTTTAATTACGGACAATAAGGTAATAATAGCGTAATAACAAAATAACTTTTTTTTTATTAGTTTCCCGTTATGTTATATTCCACATCTTATATTCAAATAAATCAGAACTCACCCCACATTCGTCCATCACGAGATCGCAGGAGCCCGCGTGGCCGTTGCAGTCACACTTTACACATATGTGATGGTCTTGATGATCCGAACTGTTGACTGGCATGTTCACGTATCCCCAAGCACATTTCTCGCATGACATCCCCGTGTATCCTCCGGGACATTCGCACATTTCGACCAGATTGTTGGTTTCGCCGTCCGGCGATACTTCGCCCACCGTAAATATCGCAGACTGGAGACTAAGAAGTAGAAAGATCGCTTCGTTACGCATTACTATAAAGATACTATCCACGCGCGAGCTAAATGCCCGATAAAGAATTGGAGATTTATGCACCTTCCTTCAATTTGCTCCGAATGATATCGCGCCCTTATCATTAGATACTTCAGATCGGTGAGGACACGTATCATTTGTGCCCTCGTCACGGGATCGCCGCGGAACTCGGTCCTCCTCAATCTGGTCGGGATGTCCTGAACGTCGCTTCGCACGTGGAACCAGCCTTGCTCCCGTAAAGGTACCGCTATTTCAGCTTCTTGACCATTGTACTGTTCCTCGCCGTACGCTATGCGCATGCCATTGTTACCCTTCGCGAGTATGTGAAAATTTCACGTTATTACATATCTATTTTTTTTTTATTAAATGTGCAAGAAAAATGCAAGAGCGAATATTTACAACTAGAATAACGTTGGGCTCCGTGGTCGGTTTACCACTGGTGTCGCCTCGCATAACAACCCACGTAACGGAGTACGTGAGATTACTCCCGTACGAGGATACGCGATTCCCCGTGTAAATCTGCGGCGCCAGCCAGAAAGGACTGTCATACTCGACGTCGAACGCCGCCACGGTCAGCCATTCGTTGTCCGTGTCTAAGACGGGAACGACCGCCCGGGACGCGTTCATGTCGGTCACCAACCAGTTTTCCAGTGTAGAAATCTGAAAAAAAAGCGAGCCGCACGGCCCACCTTCCGTTATTTTATCGTCGAGGTCTATTGTCGCTCAGTTTTACTTCCATTTCGTTTCTCGCGAAGTTATTACAAGTAACGAAGATGCTAGCTGATTTTATTAATTGTATATTTCATTCATTATTCAGTAATTAATATTATTTATGATGATTCATAATACTGTTATTCTTTGTAAAAGATAATTTCGTTAACAAATTTAGCTCCGATAAATCTTATGCCGTAAGAAGTCGCATGCACATTGACCTATTATGATAGCGCGGTTCGCGTTTTTTGTTCGTTCCAGTTCGACGCCATTACCGCCATCGTAATTGCGGGTCTGCAATTTATCGGCGGGAGTGATAAACTATAATTGTCTCTTTATCCAATTTATCGCGTGCAACGAGGACGTCGCCTAAGATTAACGTCCTAAACCGAACGACATGCCCGCAGGAGAACGTCAACCAATCGTTCTGAATTTTGCACCTGTCAACCCGATCTTGACACTTGACAAACGACGTTATTGTCTCGTTTACATACAGAATTATCCAAGATCAACAGTACCAATTAACAACATGTCTCAATAAGCGACGAATTCCTGCATTTCTATCTTCTTCTGTTTAGAAACTCAAATTTAATAATGTAATTGCTTCAGTTTCTAACTCAAATTCATTACGATAATTAGATCAAATAATAAAATTGCGCTAGGAGAAAAGCGTGAAATCACAGAAATAAACCTGCAGCACTAAAAGTTTCCCCATTTCAATAAAACTGACACGCACGTTAGGAAAGTTTATTTTCTATTAAAAAAAAAACTTACCATGCTGTATCGTAGCGTCGCGGTGGTGCAGCGATCTGCTACGTCGAAGCAATAGCAGGACATGCACCCATCAAGATTGTCCTTGGTGAGCGCAAAGTATCCGGGTTTGCAACGGTCGCAGAAGTCCCCGGCGACGTTCGCCTTGCACAAACAGTCGCCCTCGCAATCGTGGGACGGCAGAATCCCGCGGGAGTCGCAGGGGCACGGCATGCAATCGGGAAACTGCCGATAACCGGCAGCGCACTGATCGCATCTGTATCCCGAATATCCTGGCTTGCACTCGCAGGCACCTGCTACCTGGAACACGATCGGTGTGCGGACCGATTAGGATCGATCGTGAGAACGGCCCTGTTTAGAAATCACCGGGATGGATAATCGATGCGCGCGTAAATCACGGTCGCGCAAGCGATTATCGCGCGCGGCTGATGTTCCTCCGAGATTCGGCGAAAATAACCGCCACGGTGAATTTATGTGGGACGAAACGTTCCAAGGCATGTTGATCGAACAAATTTTTCATTTTTATTCATTGGAAAGATTTGAGTGTCAAAACTTACGAAGAAGAAATTTTTAATTTTACACCAATCTATATATTTTCCACCATGAGACACAATATGTATTTTTGTTAAAATATTTACGCAATTGAAACTACAGGAAATTACTCTTACCTTTCCCATACGCGTGTAGGAATCGTCGGGAGTGCAGTAGCCTGTACTGCCACGTGTGTTGCAGTCGCAGGGCAAGCAGGGTTCAGATGCATCAGGTGCAACGCCGTTCGGCCTGTAGTAGCCGACCTCACATTTTTCGCAGTTGATACCGATCGTGTGTTCCTAAGATTTTGCAAATGTTATCGCCAATGATATTTTTGAATTATATTCTTAACATCTTATATTTTACCTAACGCTAACATCATTAAATATCGATTCTCTCATAGATATTAGGCATCTGTTAATCGCAAAAGTTCATTTCTACAAATTAAGAAACTATTTGTAAGTATCTGTAATCCTCCATAGGTAGTTTTTACTTTGCGGGCATATATTTGCAGAAATTACTCGACTTTAAACATTATCAGGTTTATCATTCAATTATTATTTCGCAATAAATTTCTCATAATTACAATTTAGAGGATTACTCATTTTTCCATTTATCACTCAAAAGCGCGTTTGATGGCAGTTAAAATTGATAAATCGCGTTCGCGTTTTGTTCCTTAACTTCTTATCATCTCACCGTGCAATTGACGCACACGCCACCGCCACGGTATTTCCCACGGATATCCATGGACATTCTCCTCTCGGCCACTTCCTGGTCGTATTTGCAGGACGTTGCATGGCCATTGCAGTTGCACTTCTCGCAGTGAAAGCCCTTGCCAGCTGTGCCGGGCTTCCACGGGATCTGATTGTACATGGGGCAGCATTTTTCGCATCTTTCGCCGCACGTGTGGCGCTCGCATTCGCATTCCTGATGCTGAGGGATATCGCTTATCAGATATCGCGAAATTATCCATGTTCTTGAGTTGCGCTTATCTATTAAGTCATACAGCGAATACGCGCGCTCTGTAGCAGATACACTGCAGATATGCTGCGGAAGGTTTGCCAGTTACACCTTGTAATATCTCTGCGTAATTTTACTCGCGCTTCGAGAAATGTTTGTGGGAGCTCGCTTATCGCACAGTTAGTCGAGATTTATGTCATCGTTCTGTTTCCTTCATTTGTCAAATTCTAATAACGTTTCTGACTGCTAATTATCATCGAGAAATTAATGAAAGATTGCAGCAGATAATCAAATTCTCGTTGTTGACAGAACGTTCTTATTAATAATTGAATTATCTTTATTAATACTTGTTCCTTCGTCACTCGATACATTTTACGACACGTAAGTCGTAAAACTACGCTTTGGAGTGCAAAAACTAAATGATTGATTTCATTGTTGATTAGTCATATGAATCGATGTATTCAGTAACGTTATAGCTTCAGCCGTCCGGATGTTACCGCATTGCGAAGCCATAAAAACGGGACTTCATAGGTCTCTATCCGAATGCGCAAACGATATGCGTGTAATCGCGGATAACTAAATTGCCGGGCATAAAGTGGTGTTCACGTTGCACTGGACGTTACATATTCGGTTTACGAGTCCCACTTTGTTGCCCGAAGAATTCAGCGGTTGTCATAACTAGCGTTTGCGATCAGCAAATCGCTCAATCGTGGGATGTGGCAGAAACACAAATGATTTTAGCCAATTCAAACGTCTGAGTACGATCGACAGTAAATTTTGGATTCTCGACAAACAACAACGACTGTTTCTTCCTTCCTTCTTCGAAAATTACGATACGCCTATGAATTTCGGGGTTTTAACGAAATTAGAACGAAAGCAATTACAAAAGCTTTGTAAATAATTGCGATACCGCCAAACCTCGCAATAATAAAATCAATAATCATCATGGAGTCATAAACAACTGTTAATAACACCAAAAAACTTTCTCTGTCAGAGTTACTTCAATTGGCTCTGCAATTATCTCTGCAGTACATCGAATTGGGCCGAAGAAATCGCGCGAAGAATTAGCGCCCAAAATAAATTACGGCGGGATTAATGAGCCGCGATTTCACCGAAATATCGCATCGCGCACCCGATAAGCGTGAATACATGCGGAAGAGCGAAAAGGTTAACACGACGCGTGTGGCCTTATCATTGGCGTGACAAACGAATGGGCCACTCCGGTCAATTGCAATATCCCCCCGTTAACACGCTCTCGGTATTATTTACTGCCGATGATAATGGCCATCCCTGCGATCAGCAATCAAGCCCCGGTTTCTGCAATTACTCTTCGCCACGGTGGCATTTAACGAACCTGAATTACATTTCATCGGGAGCCATAATGTTCCGAGGCCGTTATTTTCAAATCGAGATAGCCCGGCCTCCAAAAAATAAAAACCTCAACGCGGAATGGGTGACCTTAATTTTTACGACCAATTTTTGACCAATTCGTCGCTCCAAGCAATCCTTCTTTCTCTCGTTCTTTCTCTCATCAAAAAAACTATGTATGTAATTTCAGGATCGATAATTTTGGGATTATAAGTGGAAATGAGTACTGATCTCATGAAAATTGTGACTGCTTAAATATTAACAAATTAAGAACACATCCGTTTAGGAATCATAAATTTTATAGGAATTGCTTTTCTAATTCGTGTGCGGTCAAATATGTTTAATGAAATAAAAGTCGTTAGCAGAAAAAAGATTATTAATGGTGCAGTAATAATGACCGCACAAAATACATATACTTTTTTTCAGAGAAGCCAATTTCTTTTAGTTTTAATGAAACTGAGAGATTTATGTTACATAAGTGAGCTACAAGATACTTTAAAGCATTTAAATTTTTCACACAAAAGCACGAGAATTTTCTACGTTGAGAGAGAAAAAGATTAATATTTTTCTAACGTAAAAAAGTAAGCTAAATAAAATATCTATTTCCCGCTGACATTTAATTCGGGAGATTTTTTAATAAAGTGAAATGAATTGCCATCATAATTCATTTTCCGACTTTACGAGGCTTGAAAAAATTGGTAAAAGATTTAATTAATGTTAATTGACTGGAACGCACTCGAGTGATATGATAAGGCGAGGATACGCGAATTGCGAAAGTGACCGTAACATTGTATATAAAATTGATAATGACACAATACTCCAGTGTTCTCGTCCGCAGTGACAAACAAGCAAGAAATCAACGTCCCCTATGGTATACTCTCAATCGTCGCGCGCGTGCTTATTTTTTGCTTTCTCGCTGTATCTGCCATTGCACTTTCCTTAATAATTCCCACTTCAATTCATAACAACGGACACTGAATGAGCGTATACTCGATTCGTGTCAAATAAACGAACATCGTGAAAATTGCACGAGCAGAATGCAACGCAAAGGTCAATGCCCAGCCTACGGCGGTGCAGTGATTCCGATGCGGCGAAACGTGGCGTTGCATCATGAATGACACAATGAATGTTCTATCGTATTACGCGTCTACAATCTCGCGAAATGCCTGTCCAATTCCCGGGAATGTCGAGCGCATTGGCAACGATACAAAAGCGAGTCGTAACAATGTAATATCCTTTGGTGTTGAGCAGCCTAATCTAATAAATAAAATTTCTCAGAAATCTTATATGAACCTTCCACGTATCTCTCTGTCATTTGTTACCGTCCTAATTAAAGATAAGAATAATGTTTCCTAGTCATGAAAAAATTGTTTCTCAAAATTTAATATCATTGTCAAAAGAAGGTATTTATATACAATAATTAACTTTAATAAAATTTAAGCACTTAGTCCAATTAATGAAATTAATTTCTTCTATAAAACTTAATCTTTTTTAAATAAAAATATCTGTTAATCATTAGAAGCACATAATATAAGTAAAGTATCCTGACGACAATGATAGTGGAACGTGACATAATAACTTGTTGCTTTACGAGCGTCGTGTAGAGATTTTTTTAAATTTTGAATTCGCGTCTGCACAGATCAAGGTAATCGTAATCGCGAGGAGGGGTTTCACAATTCCGAGCGACAGCGTTGGTAATTCTTAGAGGACATGGTGTACTATTATTGTCTGTTAAAGCCAGCTGCATGGAACACACGACTCAGCGAATACTCGTTCTTGGATTGTAGCGACATACAGATTCGCAGCTGCGAGAGAGAGAGAGAGAGCGAAAGAGATCCCAGCTTCACGAGGAAATATGCCACGAACGAGAGTAATTAATCACTCGCGTTGACTATTGTCTTCTCGCTCGCATATTGTGCCGTCTGAGAAACCGCCGTATCCGTAATTAAACGTGAATCATCCCTTCGGATAAAGCACGGTGTTTGCATTTTCATTTCGTCTCATGTCCGTCGTAAATTTACTCCGCGCTACACGCTCGTCATTGACCCGCACGGTCTTTCTAACTAAATGCGACCTATTCTCATTTTACTCGCGCGTGTATCGTGCAAATAACGTTTGCGACTTTAAAACGCTGCAAATTGTCTAATTAAAAATGTCATTAGACAGATATCGGGAAATTTTTAATTACCATTATACATCGTATCTAAATTAATGTTTATATCAAATTAAAATTTAAACGCCCATTGTATTAGGACCTAGGCAAGGTGGTGGCCATTAAATAGCTTAGTGAATCCATATACCGTATTTTTCCTACTCTGTACTGTGCGCCGTTACTATCGGACATATAACACAGATTTTCCCCTCGGTAGGATCATTCTCGTCAGTGAATTCACATGTTCTAAAAATCGCAAAGCGATTTTTATAAATTATTTTAATTTAATTTTAATGCTATACTTAGCATTATAAATTTACCCTTTCCCCTATTGAATTAAAATTCTTATTGCGAAAAATATTACCCCAACCAACACAGTACAGAGTAGGAAAAATACGGTATATGGATTCACTAAGCTATTTAATGGCCACCACCTTGCCTAGGTCCTAATACAATAGGCGTTTAAATTTCAATTTGATTTATATCTAAATAGGAGAAATATTCATCGTTGTTTAATGTTTATAATTGATAATACTGTTCAAGTCACTTGGTAGATAATTCTATCAAGTAGATCGATTCTAAAACAAAACTGTGTTATTACACGGAGAGAAATTTCTCTTAAAATTTATCCTGAAAATCATGTAATCGTGGGACGATATGGCATTTCAAGAAATTCTGTAAAAGTTTGTAAAAATTTTACCAGTAATCATAATTATTGTTAGTATACATCTTACTAGTATGGTAAATTTTCAAGAAAACTCTCATAAAGTTCTTTAAAATGCCACGTTGTCCCGCGATTACATGATTTTCAGGATAAATTTTAAAAGAAGATTCTCTCCGCGTACGAATAAAACTGTTCCACGGTAGCAGCCTGATTAAATATAAATGTTAGTTTTAATGATATATGTATTATATAACTCGTACCCATAAATAACCCGCAAACAAGTGACGGGAAGAATTGGGTCACCTATTGTTACGTGAACAAGCAATTCTCACGGTTCTAACCGTGATTCATCGTTCTACCTTCAATCCCGAGATACCCGCAACTCCGGACACGTACCCTAGAGAGACCGCAGCATTGATAGTGGCGAAAAAACTAATGGCGCCTCCGAAAGCACCCACTCCGCGCGATCACGGCGAAACCTTAATTCTTGGCGGTTTCTGCGGGCTTTGTAGCAGGCAACGATTCGAGAAGAAGGGACGACCCCCGCCATTAGCGGCGTCGACGGACAAAGACCTGACAAGTTTATGGCACTTTCGACGGATTTATTTCCCAAGCAGCAGAATCTGAGTGTCCGTTTTCGAGAGCGCGACCAATCCCGGCGCCACGGAAATCGTGTCATTATAAACTTTCTACAAATTGTCACGGGGCGAATTCCGCATTTTGCTAAGAGTATTACGCGAAAAATTATACGATTTAATGAAAAAGAGACGTTAGAAATATGTTCGAATACTCGATGCTGTCGAGTTACGTTCTCCGTAAATGAATTTAATAATAAGACACATTTATTTAAACAAAAATACGCTATGTAAACATATTTATCACTTAGCAACCTTTGCCGCGATAAAATAATTTGCTCGCACTTACCCCGTGCTGGACGCTGTACCGACATCGCGCCGCATGTCCGGAGCACAGGCAGCGTCCTCCGATATTGATTTCCCTTATCGAATAAAAGGCACGCCTCTTGTCGGCAAAAGCCTCGCCGTTACGTCGGAGACTCTGAAGACGGAGCCGCACGAATCTGGCCTGGGTGAATTCCTGCAGAGTCGCGCTGTGGTTCAGAGCCCCAGGTCGACCGTTCACCAAGTGCGTGTGGATCTTTCGAGTAAACAATTAAAATTCTTGTCAGCCACAACAATCACCCGCCGGGTAATTTATAGCATAATATATTATCTATCATCAGATATCTGTGTGATGTTTAGTTGCAATAATAGAGAAATATAGCTCGAGAGAATAATTTTATTTACAACCTGCGCACAAAAAAATGTGGTCGTCCCATGATGATATACCTCTAGCACAAGAAATTTGCAACTTTACCGTAAATTATTGTGAAAACAAAAGGGGGATAATGTTTGGCGCTCTTTAACTGATTTTGACGGTGAGAATAAAGAACTGCAAATAAAATCAGACGCAGCCTGGCGCAATATCCGTGGTTGTTGAACGATCGGCGACGGTCAATTAGCGTTGGTGGGCGAAGCTGCTAAATTCCAGAGACATGGACAAAGAAGTAAATCATCCGCGAATGGTGCCGCGTGCTAAGAACAGAACGGCGAGTTCCGTAAATGGACGGGCACGCGGTGCCTAATAAGGGACAATGGCTTGTATTTAGAAATGCGCGATCTTTTGCTGATTGCCAAACTTTGTCTTTAATTGTTCGTGCTTCCAGCAAATCGACAAAGTTATCCGTGCGCGTATTGATCGTTTTTGGCATTTACGTACAATTTTCTCTCTCACTTTCATCTTTTGTCCCTCTCGTCTTTTCTATTTTCACGCTCATTCCGCTTCTCGGAAAGCCGCAATATCACGCAAGTGTGGATTCGCGGTGTTTACCGAAGTAACATTTGCTCGCTGGAAAAATTGAAGGGGTTAAACGAGGAGCAGGCACTTGCCCCGAATTCTCGGTAGCTCGGCTGATAATTAAAACTCTCGTGCTCCCAGGAGCACGCGCGATCGGTTTCGTGCGAACGGAGTCGCGACGAGGGAAGAAACGAAAGAGAGAAACGCGGAGAGAGAATCGATGATACAAAAACGGCGATCCCTACATTCTGGCCATGTACGGCGCTACCTGGCCGTATAAGGGAGTGTAGCGTACGCACCTTCCATAGGGAGGAAGCTTGGCAGTTTTACGCTTCTACACGCGAACCGGGCACGCGGGGAGGACGAAAGAATAGGCGGCCGAAGGAGGATGGAAGTGCACATCTCCTGACATACGGCGAACTCGGTGCACCCGCTGCCGTTTCGCAAGAAATGATGTCCCCGCCATGAGAAACAGGAGATCCCCATACCTGAGGATCGATCCTCGCCACGAAATGATTACCTTTTATTCCCTGGTCGCAAAAGTGTCTTTTAACGATTCGCGCGGGTAGTCGAGATAGCGTCGAAAATATGTGTCTCCTAAAGTAAAATTAAACGCTGTAATGTCAGCAGTAAAGTTAGCAAGTTTATGTACATCAGAGATCTAAAAAAATCTTTCTAACCGAGAAAATATTTGATTCCTCGAATATAATACTCGTCTGCATATCTAACAGAAAAGATAAAGAATGAAAGTTTTTAAGTAATATTAAAAATTATCAAATTCCTAAAAGTTTAATTACAAGTAAAATCCGATTAAATGGTGCGTGGCAATAAAAAAAATGATTCTAAAAAAATAATGACCCATTTTAATCGCAAGCAACCTAAAAAATTAAATAAAACGTTGCAATAAATGACGATGCATCTATTTACTAATTCGTCACGTGCCTAACAGTATTAGAGAGAAGATAGCGTTAACGTGTATTATTGTGAATAATTATGCACTTTCACAAATATAATTACGTACCGTTTCCTCAATATTCTTACACGATGAAGGATTGGAAACGCAGCTCGTTGAATAAAGCAAATCGCAATGCGCGGAAAAAGGTGAGGGAAGTGACTTATAAATTTCTATACCATGAAGCATTGCCTCGCGGCAAACCTATTTCCGACGCGATGATAACGAGATGAATGGTAAATTATCGTCGCAAAACAGGCGCACATTCGTGCAATAATGGCTCGGAATATGTTGGTATAATAGCAGAAACGCACACTTTCGTCTCGCGCTTAATGCATCGCTTCCGATATCGTGGCGTCTCGCGATTTACCGTAACGGCTTACCAAAAGAAATTAATTGAGAACTAACGGTCGGGATATGTAAGTGTGCGAGCCGCGGTAATTATACAGAATATCTAAACTTTTATCTATCTACATCATTACTTTTAGGTTCTACAACATAAAATGGATCCTTTTATCAACGCGCCACGTAGTATCAATAGTTTTACAATAAATTCGATCGAAAGTAAGGATTAAAGAATTATAAATCTGAAGTGTGCGTGAAGAACTTCAATCGGTTTCGTGGTAATAAGCTCTGAAAGACGTCAAAGAAAACGAAAGAAACGTTTATAAACAATACGAAAAATGGATGAAATATATTAAAGTTGTGGAGGAAGATTCCGAAACACTCTCATTACATAGTTTTATATCGAGGAAACGGCGCCCAGTTCGCCGTTTATTAATGACCTTAAGTCGCCACCGTACCCATTACTTGGCGATAAAAGACAAAAACGACAGCGGGGAGGGGAAGAGCGGGGGGGACGAAGAAAAACGGGATCTACCGGAAGCAAGCGGACCGGCAGCCCCGTTGCCTGTAAAATCAGCGCCCGCTAATCATCCAATAGCGTAATTGCACACGCGCGGCCGCATAAGACCGACGATAATTAACGATGCCAAGTGCGGCCGTGAGGATTTTCGCAAGGATTATTGATAATGACACGGTTAGTCGCGCTCGTAGCGGAACGAACGCTACGGAAAAACGCGTCGGCGAGCATAAACGCCGCTCGTTTCATCACGCGTATCATTAACGTAACGTCTTTTATATTGACTTAGCCCTCCCGAGATAAGCATTTCGTGAAAAGCAACATACGATAAAATAATCTCGCCATTTCTATGAGAACGTTTCTATTTCATTTTATTGAGAGAGCGAGCGCGCCGGAATAAAACTGTTTTATAAAATGAAGCGCCGCTAAAGAAATAACGTCGGTAATATCTGACATTTAAATACTGAATCACACACGTACACACACATTGTAACGAATGAGTGAAGGTGAAGACGGTTCATTTTTGACGACGATCAGGCATTACGGCGCACAGAGGTGCGCCGATTGGCAGCCTGACATTTGTATGCAACAGGTTATTAGAGATAGGTCGTTATGCTACTTTATGGCCGGCAGTTAAAGGGCTCGCGCGAAAAATGCACTTCGTCGTGCTTTTAGTGTGGTTTAATTATTCGCGTTTTCAACGCTCGCAACACCCAACGTTACGATGAATACGTTATTTGTACGTGCGGCATAGCTGAACCTTAATAGCAGTTGCGAGTTTTTTTTTACGCATCAGTTGAGTAATTTCTTTCTCTTTCCTGCTTTTGCAATGTTAAACGTTACCTTGTGGCAAGTAACAAGTTACAGTTAACTAGCGCAGCGTAAATCCAACCCGATAATAACTCTATTTTCTACGAAAAAGCGCTCGATTGGCTTAATTGTACGTCTATTATTGAGTTAATTATATCCCCTTATTATTAGAACGCAAAGTGTGTAAGGCTATCGAGAAATTCATCGGAATAAAATATTAATATCGCGAGGCGATAATATTTTTAGGCAAGAGCGGCCATAAAAGAGGATAAAGTGTAAAGAGCGTAATAGAAGCTGATATCCGCGAATCGCATTTTTCGAACTTTGTGAAAAGAGAAACGTGTCCCTCACCTCGCCGCTCTCCATGGGGGTTGGTCTGGAGTACTGGGTGGTGCATATGACCTCGTCGTCGGCTTTGTAAACGGGTTTGCCCATGGCGGGCGGTACCGAATATCTCGCCCAGCATTCCTCATCGCTCGGCGCGTAATACTGCCACGGCTGGAAGTTCTCGCCGTCCAAAGATCTTTCCAGAATCCAGGCCGCGGGTCTCGGCGAGTTCGCGGCCTTCACTATCACGTATTCCACTTGATAGACCTGAAAAGGCAATAATACCAAGATGTCAGTAAGATAAACTCGGGATAACGCAATTTCCTGATTATAAAATGTTTTTACAACGCACATGTCAAGTTTTACGTAGCGCAATGATATCGTATTCGACCGATAATTTGCGATGAAAAACTGTCGAGGATCAGAAAGGGAAAGTAAAGTCCGTATTCTCTCTACACCCGCGGCTTTCCGTACCACGTTGTCGGTGCTGCGCGCCGAGATAAAAATCGCGAGCTCAATGCCGGAGGCCGGATTTGCAGGTCTCCCGCGGCTCGACGGAAACCCCGCCGAGACCCAGGGATCCCGCGACGGATAATTAATTCCAAGCAGCCGCAGATCGCGCAGAACTAGTTGGTGCTCGCTCGTGTCCCATCGACGCGACAAGTAGAAGAACACAATATCGTTGTAATGGGCCACTGCGTCAATCTCCCTATCTTTTCCTCTCTCGTACCATGGAAAAATGTCCGCCGCCACTCGGAGAGGCGGATGTTGGAACTTTTGTCTGCGCGTAGAATGCGTCAACCGCGATTTTACACGCAGTCTGAGCGGACAAGCGATGAAAATCAGCTGCTACTCGCTATTAGCTGCTCTCTTTTGCCCGCCTTACTATTATCTTCTCATTGTTCGCGCGTTACAACCGCGTATGAATCGATAGTTAAATATTCTATGCGTACATTATGTAGAAGTACCCCACGCTGTCTCGCGATTATGTCTTGATGTTGCAGGACGTAAATGGCGCAAATACGAATTTTAAAATACAATCTAGCGTGGCGAATCGTAAACGAGGCGCGCACGTAGGCGCGAGTGTTGCGTTACAGGGGAGATGCTTCGTTGAATACTAGGCACGTGAGTGATACTGCACATGTATCGTACGTTATTATCTTTACACAGCACACGATGATATTTTAGATAAGTACTCCTTCGGATAAATACTTTAGTACACAATTTTTAACACGTCGATGTATGTTCTAATATGTGCAGTGGCAGGAGAGAGAAAGAGAGCATGAGATGTTCGGTTGATTTAAAGTAGATAAGATTCAATCGACATCTTTTCCTTCTCATTTGTTTTTTTCACCGATTAACTCTTCCCTTCTGCATTGATAAAGACGTCAAACACCCTGAAGCTTTTGCAAAGTCCCGAGCGTGCGCGAGGATCTGCAGTCGCATGCATCTCCGACTCTGCAGTCGCGATTTAACAAGACGGGAGTCCTTCATCCCGCCGTCGGGCCGCATCTTTGTCGTTGTCGTTGTCGCTATCGTTGTCCTCGTTGTGTCGTCGTTACGCCGGCATTGTGAGGCCGGGACCGACGCCCACTTTCGGACCATAAAGACAGATCGCATGTCCGCGATACCGGCTACGTTTCCTTCTAGGGACTTCGTCCGGAACGGCCGATTCGGGCCCGCGGAGAAGCCGGCTTCAATTATCCGGCCCTTTTACTTCGTAGACGAGGACGGCGCATACGCGCGGCCGCGCGTGCGAGTGTGGAGGTCCTGGTCGCCTTTAGGCATTACAGAGTTGTTACAGATCGGCGATCGAGAAATAATCTTCGATTTGCGGGATGCCTTGCTGTGGATTATACGACGCAATGACGTGACGAGCAGCCCTAACGAGGATATACTCGTCTCGTTTAGCGTGCAGAATGTGCGAACGTGTACATGGCAGCGCCGGAGCTGCAGGGGAATACGTTTGCGCATCAGCATTGTTATGACAGGAGCAAGGGAAAAGGGAAAGCGTTACGAGGCAGTCTCTTCCCGAGGCTGCCCGCCTTTTACCGGCTAAATATTTGCGTTGGCCGCACATGCTCCTCCGGTTCCCACTCGCCGTCGGCATCGCGTGCCTCGTCACATGGGGTAGGTCATAAGCAAACCACGAATGCATTACTGGCTCAAGGTTGCCCCCTTCCGGCCCTCGAGGGTGTCGGTCCACGCGGGCGGTGTACACGAGAACGGCAGAGTTTATCGCGCCAGCGCACGACAGAATTACCGAGGGACGAGTGTTTCAACGTGCGACCGCGCGCGCGTCTGACTTGTTCGAAACAAACGTTGTCGAATCACCATTAAAGGAGAATAAACGGAAGATCTGGAGACGCGAGTGGAGCTGCTGCCACTATGTGCGTTCACGTTCTCGCTTTAATGTGCTTTTTCGCATCCTCCAAATATAAAAGTCACGTCACAAACGAAAAATTAGTGTAACGAGTACAATTAGTATATAATGAATAAAAATACGGATTATTCTTTCGGGAAGCTGCACGTGTATGTAACAAAAATATACTTTTCACATCGTCTTTTTTTCAAGCTCGAAGATTCAACTGAATAATTGAAATTGAACTTAATTTTGGAGTCTCCCTGTAAATTTGTTTCACGATAATGCAGATATTATTATTATCGTAAAAAATAGAATTCAGTTTTTAATCATTATTTTCCATGTTTATTCTCGGGAGCGACACTCGTGTAATGCAAGACGGCTCGTATTATCGCGCGAGAGCTCGTCAATATTCCGTCAATCGCGTTAAGGTGTTCCAGGGCGGACCCACTTGGTTCAACTCCGTTTGCGTTGGGTAACGCGTGTAAATACTAGGCGAGATCGGATAGCCTTGCATCGGCACGTCAAGGGCCGTACTTGACGCATCTCGCCTCGATCTGCCGATACATCAGTGGCGTAGATGTCGCGATAACGTTATAAAATTACTAAGATTTGCAGGTACAATTAAAAAACAGTCTTGTGTCAATATAAAGTCGTCAGGTTTCATATTTACGTAATCTAATTTGATTTCGTCGACGGAACCATAGCGTTACACTGCAACATTTTAACCATCTACCTCGCACCTGCTATGCCCAATTCAGCAGATCGCCGACTCCAAATTAATTGGCACGAAAGGTGACGACGGTGATTTGTAATTGACATTGTTATTCTGTTTGGTTCAGTATTAGATTCGATGCTAGAATCACAGCATCGTGCTCCTTTCCCATAAAACTGAGCGCATGGCAACGCTCTTTTAGGAGCAGCGACGTCATTCCTTCCGCGAAAATGAAAAGTGGTCGGTACGAGAGTTGCGCTCGATCTCGCGCTCGGTATCCGAGAAACACGGATTGTGTTTTGCCTCAGTGGTCACCGCGGGGAATTCTCGAAGCACCGGCCACGTGACACTGCGCGAGAGAAATGCAACGGACGGCTCCCACGATCACGGGCGACGGCTTCTTTCGTTTAAACGCATCCACAGCCTTGTAAGGATGCACTTGATATTAGCATCAGATGACAAAAATGGCTTTATAGCTGACGCGTAGAAAGTCGATGATAAATAACCGAAAGGGTCGATGTTTTCTTTGGACAATGCGACTTGTGACCCAAAATGGATCAAGATCGAAAACGATCGAAGGTGGTTAAACCGGATAGCAATTTCATCACGCTACTATAATGCTTGTAAACTTACACATTAAAAATAAATTGGGTAATTATGCATAAAAGGAGCCTCCTCTCCGATTTGCTTCATTTTTAAATATGTTGTTGGGGATGTCTTCCCGAGTCATTTCATATATATATATAA